TCTTCAAACTAACGAAATATAAAGTTTTTATGGAGGAAAACCCGTCTGGATAACAGCAGACTGACTGCTCGTAAAATATACGACAGGTCTGGACCACTCGTAAATTTTGTTCGTTTCTGAAAAAATCTTAGAATACGAAAACATTGGTGAATGCAACAAATTCTCCTAAATCACTCGTATGCACAATTTAAGAACAAATCTGTGCGTACGAACGGCTCTTGCATGAGGCCCAATGTTCCAAATTTCATCACCTCCTCGCCTCTTTCTGTCTGAAACTTCACCCATGTGTAATCCTACATCTCATGGGCTGAACCGTGATTCTCGTCAGAGTCACATCCAGTTTGTGACTTAATTCCCCCAACAACTGAGTCTGTGCGTTACCAGTACGGGAGATTCCATCCATGCTTATTGACAGCCTCTCACGGGCCCGGACTGCTGTCAGGATCGCTTTCATTTTCTGATAAGACAGATATCCGCCTCCACCGATCAGCAGAAATCTAACTATCATAAATCCAAATTTGCACAAATCTTTCAGATCTTCACTGGAAAGTGGTGCCAAACAGATCAGGTTCCAGCCCCAGGAATTGCTGACCTGACCAGCAGCAACCATTCCACTGGGGCAGCTATGTTCCCCATGTTCCAATCTCAATGTGGAAAAAACCGCAATATGGAATTTTGCAATAATCACAAACCGATGTCAACTAATGTTTATTCAAACTTACGTACCCATTCTGCTGCATAGCCAGGCTTTAAACCAGCAATGATAAGTTTCTGTGGGGATGACAAAATCTCTACATCAAGCCCAAAGTTCTCTTCCTCTTGTCTCTTTAGAGTCACAGTGTCAATTGTGAAACCTCCCATGGAATAACCAGCATCCTCCTTCATAATGGGCTGATTGGTTTTTAGCCCTGCATCAATCATTTCGTTTTTTCCACTCAGTATAGAATCAGGCAATGATTGGAGAAAATATGTTGTCATAACATCATTTTGGGGCATTTGTGGCTGGGACAGGAGCTCACCATTTTCATTTTTTTCTGAGTCTTCGTTATCATTGAGCTCATCCTCTAAGCTGGTCAACTGTTTCTGGTGAAGAAGTGGGATGTGCACTGAGGCAGGGCTAGAGGCCATATTGGTTTGACAAAGTGTCTGTATATCATGATGAAGAGGACCAGAAATCTTGTCTTGTGTCAAACTGTGTACAGAGAAATTTTCTCTACATCTGTCAGAAAATGGATGGATGCAGAGAATAAGAAACATGGCATGTTTACAGTGACTAACATACAGTATTAGGTAAGATATCTAGTTAGTTGATTTTATATTAAAAAAAAGTTGTATCTCAATGAGCTGCGACTGCTGGCATCAAAGTGATGAATAATTGAAATGGATTCTCATAAAAGTAGTGGCAGCTGTGACAGTTAGTACAAAGCAACCTGAAGTGGGCAGAGGTGGGCAATGAAATAATGTGCAAGGACTAGAATACACTTTTGAAGCCATGTTTTCAGCTCACTGGTCACTTGGTCGCAAACACTCATAGCTCAATGAGACTGCAAAAATAATTTGCTTATTTTCATGCATTTCTGACTCTCCAACTAGTCTGCAACATCACAGTCTCACAAAATAATACATACAGAAAAAATAAAATAAATACCTTGAGGTTGTAATTTGTCTTCCATTGAGGTGCTGCAGCTATGAACAGAATCAGACAGGAAATGGCATCTGGGACTGTCCTGAGAGAACTCTGTCAGTGAGCTTATGGATCCCTGTTTCAACAATTTAAGAATAAGCCAAATATCAAAGTGAGAAGAAATTTAAAACCGCAACTACATATCATTTAAGTAGTGTTCCAAAAATACTACAGAATAAAAATATAGTAACTGTACTGTCATAACTAAAACAAAATAATAGGGAAGAAATGCCCTTCAATTATCTCTTAGGTAGTAGAATTTCAGAAATTACCCCCTGCCTGTAGTTTTTACATTTCTTCTCAGTTAACCGTGACATTTGTTCTGTAATTTGTGGGTGTGCAGCCAGTGGTGTGAGGTCCATAATCAGTGTTCTTTTAAAATGCTGTACTCTGCTCTGCATTTGGCTGAATACATGCATCTTACACAAATCTTTGCAGCTTTACCTACACACCACCCAGCACCAAAAGACTGGATTTATAAACAGTAAGTAAAATCAGTAATATTAAAATATCAAAATAGTAACAACTCCTCTATTTCCATTAATTTTTCAATAGAATAAAATAGATAAAATAGGAGGTGCATACATAATTTAAAGACTTTAAATTTGTAAATCGACATGTAACAGATGGCAAGTGTTTTGTTCTAAACAAGTCACATTGTGGTTACAGGACATGAAATGGGAAAAAAACACAATCATACACAAAGGTTGGAATCTGCTATCCAATTCAGTAGTAGATAAATAAGAAAACCAATGAAAGTTTGAAATAAAGGAATTAAGCTTTGTACCAACAAATTAGGGAATATGACTGAAATATTGAATAAATGCTTACTCTTTTGGGAGGATCAAGGAATCTTTTCATGGCCCAACTGAGGGCAGAGGGGGAATCTCTTTGCCTGTCCTTCACATCAGAGCATGGGCTCTTACAGAACAAACCTAAAAATATGCAGAAAGGATAGTTATACTCCACTGAGATTAATTAATTTGTACATTATTTATTGTGAGGGACTACATCAAAGAAAAGTTACTAAAAATAAGTGAAAGTAAAAATCCAACCTTGGGAAAAGAATGGTTGTCTGTTTCTGCTCATTTTGTTCTTGTACATTGATTGAGAAATAATATGATCCATCTCTTGTTCTGACACCTGTGAAAAGTCAACAAAAATCACATTATCAGTAAAATACTTTAAAATCATCTAGCTAACAAAGTTAAAGTTTAAAATTATTAATGTATTTAAAAAAAGCTTGAAACACACAAACAAAAACTACAAATATTCCAAAAATATTTAATTACATTTTCATTTGAATAGTCTTATTCAGTGTTATACCCTTGTTATTTCCTTTTTGTTATGTCCTTTAGGCCCTTTTCAGTTCCAACATGACCATGCCTCAACGCAGGAAACAAGAATTATCATGAATGAATAGGTGCAAATTCCCAAAAAACACTCATAAGTGGGATATGAAAAAGGGAGATTAGAGTGCTGGCAGTGGTGGACAAAGTACTCAACTCTAGTACTTGAGTAAAAGTATTGATACTCATGGTCAAATCTAACTCAAGTTATGTGGTGAAAAATCTACTCAAGTTAAAATAATGAAGTACTTACTATTGAAAATACTTAAGTATTCAAAAGTACATGCATTTAAAAGTACTCAAGTATTCAAAAGGAAAAAATTATTTTTTAAATGGTAAATGGTACTGAACTTAAAGAGCGCTTTTCAAGTCCCTCCGGACCCCAAAGCGCTTTACACTAACAGACATTCACCCATGCACACACACATTAACACACTGATGATGGCAAACTACACTGTAGCCACAGCTGCCCTGGGGCACACTGACAGAAGCAAGGCTGCCATGCACCACCCTCTGACCCTTTTATTATCAGTACATTGCTGTATTGTTTTTAGAGTGATTTTACAGAACCTTGTAACTCTCAGAAACCACCTGATGTATCAACACAGAACCACTCTCTTACAAATTTTACACCACCTGTAAAGACTTCAGCACAAAAATGCAATAAAGTGAGTGGTGAGACCTTAAATGCAGAAATGCAGTATATCTGCGGTGAACACAGAAGACATTTGAACTGAWACAAACTATTATTCAATCCTAAGATCTCAAACATCAAGCTGAGATATGGCCATGGGTGCTGGTTTCTCTACTGTCTTCAACTGTCTCCATTGCTGGGTTCTTTTTTTTAGCCACTTCATTAGAAAGCAGAACTGTATATTAGTTTCTTAACTTCATCATCAGTGACTTTATTTTTTTAAGAAGAAAAAAATAAGAGAAGAAAAAAATAGTGAAATGTAATAGGAAAGTGTGAAAAAGAGATTAGAAGATACAGTATGTGAAGTATACATAGAGAAAACACAAGACAGCACACCCAAAATCTTGGCTGTACACCTACTGAAACAGAAATATATACAGGTGCTGGTCATAAAATTAGAATATCATGAAAAAGTAGATTTATTTCAGTAATTCCATTTAAAAAGTGAAACTTGTATATTATATTCATACATTACATACAAACTCATATATTTCAAATGT